TCTCTTGTTAGTAATTATATGCATGGTTCGTATTCATGATATTATAAAAGCATAAAGGGATTTCTTTAATAAAATATTTGTAAAATATTATTTTGATATTTTTCTTTAATAGTCTTTATAATTAGATAAAATGTACTGTTAATTAATAAAAAATGAGTTTAGTCTATTTAATGAGATTAATATCAAATTTTATTTAATAATGAAATGTTAAAAAATATATAAAAAATATGTTGGTAATTAGGTCAGGTAATTGATAAATTGGTGTAAAATTCCAAAGTATACTGTATCATCTTGCAATGCTTTAAAGAAACCCACTTGGTAGCCATTTTACAAGGTCCAACTTAAAACATCTAAAACCTTTTTTTATTCTCTTTCCTGTTCATTACTGTAGCTTCGCAATTCAGCTTCGTTATCCTCTTATAATCCTAATATTGAATTGCTTTCTCCCAAAACATACGGGGATCTGCATGTTATCAAATGTAATTTTGAGTAATTTTAAGAACCTCAGACGTGATTGAGTGCTTTTAGTTGATCCTATTAATTGACATCTAAATCTATTGTGGCCAATATTATTCACCAAATTTATTTAAATTTAAGATAAAAAATAAATAGAGAAGGAAAAATATATATAAGCACTCACCGTTCGTTACCTATATCCTTTTGATCTGAATCGGACTGCATAAATGGTGAACCAGGATAGTTCCCCAAAGCTCCTAGATCTGCAAAGAAAAATAATTCATAAACAAAGCATGAAGATGTCAACAAAGGGTAAATATTTACACACACAAATTACAGCAGAACTCAAGAAAATTCAGGTAAGAGGAGAACATCGTTTGGAGATGACATTGTATATATATAAGTAATTGATTACTAATTGATGAATGTTGGCAGGACCTTTGAACATCATTAATATTCTCTCAGTTGGTGTAGCAGCCGCTATTCTGGTTAAGAGGTCCAAAACTTCTGAGTCATCACAGGTGAGTAACCCATCTATATTGTTAGTATTAATAAGACAATTAATTGTACTTACAAATTCAGCAGCAATATGCCACTAAAAAGAACACCTTGCTTTTCCAAACAAGAATATGAAAATATTTGGTATGCTTCTTCGATTCAAATTCTCAATGGTTATCATAGCTGAGTGTAATATATTAAATTACCAGAGTTCATACTGCTTATGTGATATACTTTTTTTGAAATTAAAGATTCAACATAAAGTATGCGAAGATTGTGGAGGTTTTGTATATGTTCAGAATGCAATGATGAAGGATTCCAGCTAGTGGTGTGCATGGAGCGGTTCATAACCGGTTTGACAAAAACCGAACCGAACCAGTTTTAAATGGTTTTATTTTCAAACCGAATCGGTTTTCTTTTTCAAAATCGGTTTTATTTATCCAAACCGGTTTGCAACCGGTTCCAAAACCGGTTTATGGTTCAAAGGTTGAAAAGAACTTAAGATAACCAATGAAGAACTTGAGTGTATATATCAACATCATCTTATTGATTTAGTAATACATTACATCAACACTGAATTATATATTGGTTTTTCAGAATTTGGGTTATTTGCTTTATGTATGGCTAGATTACTTTGATGCTCAGTTTCCTATGTCATGCTTATGAATGTGGTAGTGAACTTATGCTGGTAGTATGTATGCATAGTTAATGAATTCATATTCTATACACACATACACAGTACATGTTGTTTGGATTTAAGTTACTATGTAAGATTGTCATGTTGGTGTTTGAATCTTTGAATGAATGATAAATAGATAACCTATATTATAATATTCGGATGTTAATCCATTGTCTCAGATTAATTCCCTGTTTTTTCTGCAGTAGGAATGGACTTGTATTTCCACCGCAAGGAAAGTCAAATCCTCAGACTTAGGATAAGTTGTTCTTAAGGTGCTCAGATTCCTTCGGAATTCCAACGACACGAAAGCGCAAATATGGTTCAAAGAAGAGAAAGGTTCAAGAAGGCATTTTGGCAAGTTCAAAGAAGAGAAAGGTTCAAGAAGGCAGAGGAGACATTTTGGCAAGTTTAAAGAATACTAAACTTCCTTCCAAGAAAGTACACGAGCCAAAGAAGAGTCTTTCTGGCTTGAACAAGAAAAGAAAATTGGAAGACAATATCAGGATTAACAATTTGGAAGAAGATGAGGAAGTTCTTTTTCTTCCAAGGACAAAGTCAAGAAGGCAAACTAGAAATATGGACAATATGAAGGTGACTGTGTTTCTGAATGCCTATTTCTTACATTTATAAAAAGTGTCTTAGTTTATGACATTTTTTTGGTATTTAAGCCTTATAACACAGTTTAATAAGTGCTTTACTATTTGTGTTAACAGGATACTGAACAAAATTCCAAAATATGTCATCAATGCATGAAAAAAGAAAGAGCAGCATTTGTACCATGTACTAAATGTCAGAAAATGTACTGTCTGTGGTGCATCAACAACTGGTATGTTTTTTACATCTAAATAATCATTCGAAAGGTTTATTTATTTGTTCATCTTTTTTATTAGATACCTTTAGAAAATATAAATATTTTCTTATTTTTGCACATAGGTATCCCGATATCAAAATAGAAGATATTGCAGCGAGTTGCCCCTTTTGCAGGAAAAATTGCAACTGCAATGTCTGCTTACGGTCAAAGGGAATGATTAAGGCTTAGTTTACTATAGTGTCCAGTAGACACCCTTAATTCTTCTCTTGTTCAAAAGTATATTTTTTATTTCTTTGTTTTTGTCCTTGTCCTCTAATTTGTTATCTCCATTCAGACATCTAACGGGAAGTTCATAGATTGTGAAAAGGTTCGGTATTTGCAATACATGACTAATTCACTTCTTCCGTTTGTGGAACAAATTCGTGAAGAACAAAGTCATGAGCATGAGATTGAAGCCAATATACAAGGTTTTAAGCTTTAGCTGTGTGTTTTTTTTTTACTTAACTTTTGAGAGATCACTAACTAATCTCTCATGTCAGGAAAATCATGTTCTGAGTTTTAGATACCTCAAAGTACTTGTAGTGACGATGAACGTATCTATTGGTATTGTATCTGTCCTTTTGCCTAATATATACTATAGCATGATTCCTTCTATATTTTACAAGATCTTTTATTTTATTTTTTTTGTTGTTGGAGCAGTGATCACTGTGCCACGTCTATTGTTGATCTTTATAGAAGCTTCCCCAAGTGTTCATTTGAAATCTGTCTTGCTGTCAAGAAATACGAAATGAAAGTATTTCACCCCGGCCTGAACTGAAGTTTGAATATGTTAATAAGGGCATTGAGTACATGCATGGTGGTCATCCTCAACCAGTATATTGTGATTTAGGGACTTCAGAGGGTACTATTGAGATATATGCCGTTTGGAATGCTAACAGGGATGAAAGTATTAGATGTGCTCCAAAAGAAATGAGGGGTTGTGGTGACTCTGTATTGGAGCTGAAGTCTATACTTCCAAATGGACAGATTTATAATTTGGAAGCCAAAACTCGTAACATGCTGAAGAATTTTTGCAAAATTGAGCACAAAACTCTTTAGAAAGAAGCAGTATTAAGCAACAATTCTATGATAAAAGCTGCTTTTAGAGATGACACAAATGATAATAACATATATTGTCCAGTGTCAAGTGACTTGTCAGAAGAATGGCTATTTCTCTTCCAACAGCATTGGATTAAAGGTGAACCAATCATAGTTCGGAATGTTCTTAAACAAGGGACATGTCTGAGTTGGGAGCCAAAGGTCACTTGGCGAGCATTATGTGAAAATTTGGTTTCATGAAACAGCTCAAATGCGTCAAAAGTGAAGGCCATTGATTGCCTGTCTTGTTGTGAGGTTTGCTTCTATCATCCTTTTTATGCTTTTATACTAACATTTCCCCACAAAATCATTGTCATAAAATGACTATCTTTGAATTGGGTAGGTGTAAAAGCATATGATATTATATTTCTTTTATATTGTAATGGACAGTAGGTAGTTTATTCATTTTCAGTAATCATGTCTTTTTTCTTATTCATTTCCTTCTTAATGTTAAGAATAACAATTTCACTTTGTATTTCTTGAATATAATATTAGAACTCTGATTAACACCCTTCTAAACCTTTGCAGGTAGAAATTCTCATTCGTGGTTTCTTTAAAGGTTATACGAAAGGAAGAACATATATGAATCTCTGGCCAGAGATGCTCAGTCTAAAAGAGTGGCCCCCCCTCTGACAAGTTTGGAGATCTTTTGCCCTGACATTGTGATGAATTTATCCGTTTACCATTTCAAGAGTACAATGATTCTTGAGCTGGAATCCTCAACCTTGCTGCAAAGTTACCAGCTCATGTCCTAAAGCCTGACATGGGTCCTAAAACCTATATTGCATATGGGACTAAAGAAGAACTTGGCAGAGGAGAGGATTCCAGCTCGAGGATCGCTGTACTCTCGAAATGGTAAACAACGGATAAATTCATCACAATGCCGGGGCAAAATATCTTCAGACTTGTTAGAGGGGGCCCAGTCTTTTAGCTTGAGCATCTCTGGCCAGAGATTCATATATGTTCTTCCTTTCGTATAATCTTTAAAGGAATCACGAATGAGAATTTCTACCTGCAAAGGTTTAGAAGGGTGTTTATCAGAGTTCTAATATTATATGCCGGAAATACAAAGTGAAATTGTTATTCTTAACATTAAGAAGGAAATGAATAAGAAAAAAGACATGATTACTGGAAATGAATAAACTACCTACTGTCCGTTGCAATATAAAAGAAATATAATATCATATGCTTTTACACCTACCCAATTCAAAGATAGTTATTTTATGACAATGATTTTGTGGGGAAATGTTAGTATAAAAGCACAAAAAGGATGATAGAAGCAAACCTCACAACATGACAGGCAATCAATGGCCTTCACTTTTGACGCATTTGAGCTGTTCCCTGAAACCAAATTTTCACATAATGCTCGCCAAGTGACCTTTGGCTCCCAACTCAGACCTGTCCCTTGTTTAAGAACATTCCGAACTATGATTGGTTAACCTTTAATCCAATGCTGTTGGAAGAGAAATAGCCCTTCTTCTGACAAGTCACTTGACACTGGACAATATATGTTATTATCATTCGTGCCATCTCTAAAAGCAGCTCTTATCATAGAATTGCTGCTTAATACTGCTTCTTTCTGAAGAGTTTTGTGCTCAATTTTGCAAAAATTCTTCAGCATGTTACGAGTTTTGGCTTCCAAATTAGAAATCCGTCCATTTGGAAGTATAAACTTCAGCTCCAATACAGAGTCACAACAACCCCATATTTCTTTTGGAGCACATCTAATACTTCCATCACTCTTAGCATTCCAATCGACATATATCTCAATAGTACCCTCTGAAGTCCCTAAATCACAATATACTGGTTGAGGATGACCACCATGCATGTACTCAATGCCCTTATTAACATATTCAAACTTCAGTTCAGGCCGGGGTGAAATACTTTCATTTCGTATTTCTTGACAGCAAGTAAGACAGATTTCAAACGAACACTTGGGGCAGCTTCTATAAAGATCAACAATAGACGTGGCACATTGATCACTACTCCAACAACAAAAAAATTAAAATAAAAGATCTTGTAAAATATAGAAGGAATCATGCTATAGTATATATTAGGCAAAGGGACAGATACAATACCAATAGATACGTTCATCGTCACTACAAGTACTTTGAGGTATCTTAATCTCAGAACATGATTTTCCTGACATGAGAGATTAGTTAGTGATGTCTCAAAAGTTAAGTAAAAAAAAAAAAAAAAACACAGCTAAAGCTTAAAACCTTGTATCTTGGCTTCAATCTCATGCTCATGACTTTGTTCTTCACGAATTTGGTCCACAAACGGAAAAAGTGAATTAGTCATTTATTGCAAATACCGAAACTTTTCACAATTTGTGAAGTTCCTGTTAGATGTCTGAAAGGAGATAACAAATTAGAGGACAAGGCCAAAAACAAAGAAATAAAAAATATACTTTTAAAAAATAGAAAAATTAAGGGTGTCTACTGGACACATAGTAAACTAAACCTTAATAATTCCCTTTGACCGTAAGTAGACATTGCAGTTGCAATTTTTCCTGCAAAAGGGGCAACTCGCTGCAATATCTTCTATTTTCATATCGGGATACGTGTGTGCAAAAATAAGAAAATATTTATATTTTCTAAAGGTATCTAATAAAATAGATTAATAAATAAATAAACCTTTCGAATGATAATTTAGATGTAAAAAAATATACCAGTTGTTGATGCACCACAGACATTACATTTTCTGACATTTAGTAAATGGTACAAATGCTGCTCTTTCCTTTTTCATGCATTGATGACATATTTTGGAATTTTGTTGAGTATCTTGTTAACACAAATAGTAAAGCACTTATTAAACTGTGTTATAAGGCTTAAATACCAAAAAATGTCATAAACTAAGACACTTTTCATAAATGTAAGAAATAAGCATTCAGAAACGCAGTCACCTTCATATTGTCCATATTTCTAGTTTGCTTTTTTGACTTTGTCCTTGAAGGAAAAAGAACTTCCTCATCTTCTTCCAAATTGTTAATCCTGATATTGTCTTCCAATTTTCTTTTCTTGTTCAAGCCAAAAAGACTCTTCTTTGGCTCATATACTTTCCTGCATGGAAGTTTAGTATTCTTTGAACTTGCCAAAATGTCTTCTCTTCCTTCTTGAACCTTTCTCTTCTTTGAACTTGCCAAAATGCTTTCCTCTCGTTGGAATTCCGAAGGACTCTGAGCACCTTACGAACAACTTATCCTCAGTCTGAGGATTTGACTTTCCTTGCAGTGAAAATACAAGGTCCAATCCTACTGCAGAAAAAACAAGGAATTAATATGAGAAAATGGATTAACTTCCGAATATTATAATATAGGTTATCTACTTATCAGTCATTCAATGATTCCAACACCAACATGACAATCTTACATAGTAACTTAAATCCAAACAACATGTACTGTGTATGTGTGTATAGAATATGAATTCATTAACTATGCATACATATTACCAGCATAAGTTCACTACCACATTCATAAGCATGACATAGGAAACTGAGCATCAAAGTAATCTAGCCATACATAATGCAAATAACCCAAATTTTGAAAAATCAATATATAATTCAGGGTTGATGTAATGTATTACTAAATCAATAAGATGATGTTGACTCGAGTCAACTCAAAAAACGTGAAAAAGATTTTTTTTTCATAAAGGAAAAAAGAAGGGGAATTTCAATTGTTGTATTCATGTGTAGGCATGAAATTTTTTCAGAAATTGAAACTTTTTTAATATTTCTTCATTCTTGAATGGCAGAGAACAAAAAATAATATAATAACCAAAACGAGGACTTTAGAACATTGTATACAAACACAAAAGAAAAGGAGTGAGAACAAATGAAAATAAATTTGAGCCCACCTGATTATTCAACAATGTTACGATAAGGATTCAGTGATCAGTTTCAACTTTCAAGAAAAGAATGAATGACACAAGACTGAGATTGCAAATAGCAATGTAGAATCTACTTATATGAGAGTTTCTGAAGCTACTATAATGGGTGAGAGAGAGATTTTACGGTACAAAATAGAGATATCAGAAAAAAAAACAAGTGAGTCATCTAAATTTACCTCGGAAAGGGTTCAGTCCAATCAGCAATAAATGCCTTTCCGTTTTGCCTCTTGAAATTTTAATGATATGATGCGTTTTTTGTTTAGATTTTTTTTTATGATAAGAAACAAAAAACCTTCCTTCTGGAGTTCCTGATATGCACATAGTTGACCGTGTGTTTAGGGAGTCAACGGATTTGACTCAGAGATGACCTTTTATTTCCTATTTCTTTCAAGGGAAATCCTAATTTTGTTTGAATGGAAGGTATTCTTAATAAATTAAAACCAAATCTCTAATTTGATCTATGATTGTGTTTTAAAAATTGGGAAGATTCTGATATGATAATATTTCCTGATTTGTGATTTTTGTCATTATTATCCGATAAACGGTTATAAAAACTATATATCTCTTGGTAATTAATCATTATGATAATGAAAGCAATAAAAAGGAAAAAAAATTAAAACATTATTATTTTATATAATAACCATTATTCCAAATCATCATTTAATTAAAAATATGAAATTATAAAGAATAGTTTAATTATTATTATATTATTAATTATACAAAAAAAAAAATTCTGCTAATTCCAATAAAAGAAAAATAATGAGATTGAAAGTCAAAATTTGTATTGGAATTTGTTAGAAATAAAATATAAGATTGAACAATGTTGTGTAGGTGTATGGTGGTCTGTTCGCATTCTTGTCTGAAGTTACACGTTTTCCTCTATATTCAAAAATGATCCTACGCGTCTTCCTCTCTGCTTAAACTCTACTGTGTATCTGTTCTCTCTTTCCCTTAAAAAAAACAACTTTATCTCTTCAAAGTTGATGATGACCTCTGTTATCGATGTGAAAAAAAAAAGGGAAAACTTCAAAAAAAACCCTACAAGTTTCCTCAAAATCACTTAACCCTCTCCCCGAAATTTTTAATCATTTACCCTCTTAATTAAATTTTTTTTATCACTTACCCCCCTAATTTGATATTTCATCCAAAATTTTGTTAACAGAGTTAAATTTTTTTTAAAAATACCAAAATTACCCTTAATAGAAAAAAGAAAAACATAATTTCTTCACCAACACAATTTTAGACGAACTCACAGAATGTTTTATTTAAGGTAGCCTTGTTAGAATTAGTAATGATTAAAATTATTTCTTACAAATTCCATTGCTATAAAACACCGTACTCACAATTGTTGGTGTCGTTGTTTAGGGTTTTCTTTTATTATATGATCAACAAATCTGACCTTAGGAAAATTCCCAATCTAAATCTAGGTTTATGTTCGAATTCCAGGAACGCACAAACAATACAACTTCCAAAATCGTATTTCACGTATAATAAAACCAGTATGCCAATTTCTATTGAGTATCATGTTGGTTTCTTTGCAATCAACTCGTTGATATTTTTAAATCACTTAACCCCTCCCCGAAATTTTTAATCATTTTATTTGAACAACGACACCAACAATTGTGAATACGGTGTTTAATAGCAATGGAGGAAATAATTTAAATCATTACTAATTCTAAGAAGGCTACCTTAAAGAAAACATTATGTGAGTTTGTCTAAAATTGTGTTGGTGAAGAAATTATGTTTTTCTTTTTTCTATTAAGGGTAATTTTGGTATTTTTTTTTTAAAAATTTAACTCTGTTAACAAAATTTTGGATGAAAAATCAATTAGGGGGGTAAGTGATAAAAAAATTTAAGTAGGGGGTAAATGATTAAAAATTTCGGGGAGGGGGTTAAGTGATTTTGAGGAAACTTGTAAGGAGATTTTTGAAGTTTTCCCAAAAAAAAAATAGTAAATTTAAGATTCTTCCTCTCTGTTCAAAACAATTTCTCTCTCTGTCTCTCTGTGGATCTGAAGCTACAAGCTTGTCAATATGCTAATTAACTATAAAACTAATCTTTTAATTATAAGCCGGCAAAAAAAATAGTTATGTTAGCTTAGTGAGGTTAAGTTGCTACAGAAGCAATTCTTTGTCGTTTTGCTCAGCCAAACAAATATTGCTATATTTTAATAAGTCAAACTATATTTTGATTGATTGTATCATTCTTTCCATTTGGGGTTCAACCAGTAACAGTACCATTGACTCAATAATTTGGAACTCTATTGTTAAGAAAAAAAAAGGCGGGAAACGATATAAACAAATTCATTTACTCATCAGTCTTCTTGAACATTAATTGACTCAACCAGTAACAGTAGCATTGCATAATTATAACTGATACAGAGAAAGAAAGGAAAAAGAACTTTAATTTGGACAAAGCAAGAACGAGGGCGGCGCTGGAATAGAGAGATGATACGCAAAAGGGAGTCTCAGCCGGTGATGGTGGTGACAGTAGATGCGCTGACTCACTGAGTCTCACCAACGAAACGATTAAACATTGAAAATTTAGAAGCTCTGATTATATAATAAGACCTCGAGGCTGAAGCAAAACCAAAACCAAAATCGATTCCAAATTACATAAATAATATTCTGATAATATAATGGTATTTGATTACAATTTTAACGTCTGCTTTTAAAAAGTAACAAAATCAATATTTGTTTATCCTAATTATTTTGAAAAATAAACCATTAAAAGATTTCCGGATTTACAAGATCTTGGCGAGAGAAGTCCGAATGCTAATAGGATTATTATAGATTGATATGGGGGGAAATGGTGATAATATATTTTTATATAATTGTTATGTCTACAAGGATGTTTTGAGTGATTAATATTAGGAATTAATTTGATTTATGAATAAAAACTTTTATTCAAAAAGATTTGAAGAGGGAATTGATTCAATTTTGAGATTCTTTTAATTTAAAATCTATATTTTCAATCAACAAAATTTGGTGCATAAAGTTCGCTTGAATTTGATTAGATTTAAGTGAATCTGATTTTATTTTAGCTTTATCTTAAATATGAGATTTGATATTTAAAGTAATTTAAATCTTTATTTTTTTTATCACGAATTATAAGCATGGACCATGGTGATCCATTTTTACATCCAATCAAATAAAAAGTTGATTCGAAATCGAAACGCAATCAATTATAGTTAACTTTTTTAGTGACACGATAATATACAATTAATATGAAATTAATCTCTTAAAATAATAATAATTGCGAGAATATCAAGAATAACAACAAAAACCTGACGCAAAATCTGACAAATCTCGTTGATGCGATTCGCGGCTGGTGCGACGAAAGCTCTTGAGGCTATGAAAGAGAGGGTCATTGAGATCTCAATGGTGGTGGCGGCGGCTACGGTGGCAATGCCATCAACAGCCTTAGTATGCCGCCTCAGTATTTTGGAAGATGGAACCCACGCTTACGTTTACGTAAATCCAAACCTCCTAACTCCTTGTCTTTTTTTTTCTATGTTGTGGGCCTTTTTCCTTATTTATTTTAATTCATCAACGATCTCCGTTCCATGGTCCTAAACTAACAACAACTCTTCTCATTTAGGGGCATTTGGTAGAATTTTTTTATTTATCCGAAAAATTATTATTATAGGAATATTGTGGGAAATATATTTTTGCTAGAAAGTTATTAAAAAAGTGTTTAGGGGACGTTTGGTAGAAGAGAAATTTTTATTTATCCGAGAAATAATTATTACTAGAATGTAGTGGGAAATATATTTTTACCGGAATGTTAGTAAAAGGTGTTTGGTATGACCAAGTTTTTCTAGGAATTTTATGATTAAATTTACTAGTGTGTCTTTGGTTGATTGTTAAATATTAGTGGGAAAGTGAGGTTATTTTACGAAAATAACCCCACATCACTTCACCCAACTCCATATCTTCACACAAAGTGAGGTTATTTTGGTCAACTCATTCATTTTTGCTTTTCACTTCCCCAGGCTAAAAAGTATTCCATATATTCAATGGCCAAAAGATTGTGATTGCCGTACCTAACTTTGCAAACAAAACAAAAAAACGGGAAACATTTTTATGCAGGAAACTTGCCTCTTTTTTTATACCAAACATGGTTTATAACTTTTCCCAAATATACTTTCCCGGATAACCAAACAAAAATCACGTAACAAACGCCCCTTTATAATATAGCAAAATTTTCCTAGGATTTTATGGTTAAATTTATTGAGTGTGTATTTGATTGCTTATGAAATATTAGTGGGAATGTGAGGTTATTTTACGAAAATAACTCCAACTTTACCTTTTGTTTGAAATGTTGTATTTAACGTTTTCGAAGACAAAGAAAGACAAAGAAGAACATATGGGTTTGCTAAAAAGATACAGGAGAACACAAAACTTTATAGATATCGGAGGATGTGGCAAACGTTGAACATGCACAGCTACCAAATGGAGTTGAAATGTGCCAGTGAGAATAGATATGAGAACAGAACCACACGGAGAACACCATAAGACTCGCGATGGCCAGAAAGTAGAAGGGTCACATAGTCTTCAGTTGCTAAAAGTTTTGCCACATCCACTCTACTTGCTTCATGCATGCAGCCAATATGTCAAGATACCAGTATACCTTGCGATGTGTAAACGAGTAAATCTCCAAGCTTGGATGGTGGAGTAGATCTTATTCCAAAAAGATGCCGATAACTAGACAAAGGGAGCAACAAATGCTTTCACACACATAT